TTCCAGGCCAGCCTGGTCTATATCTGGCACAGTCAGGGATATGTAGAGACTTTGGTTGTTTGCTTGATTGCTTTTTAAACCAAAAAGAAAAACAAACAAAAAAGAAAAAATAAAACCTTTACTTTCAGATTTTTTGGCAGATGAAGTTCCAATATTGTGTGAACAAATGTCTGCTCCCCTCAGTTAGGGAATTGATGACAGACCAAGGTAAGGGTCCATGAGTGTGAATCACCCGTTTTTATTGGGTTACTACTAGGATATGGGTGAGGGGTTACTTATAAGAGCAAGGACGACTCAGACGCATCTGTGGCACTAAAAGACCACCCCAGCAGGAGTGAGAGCTGAGGGAAGCTAGAAACCATGAGAGCTCGCTCCCAGGAGAACTCAGAGGCAGCTTGACAGACTGGACATCTGTGTCTTCCAGGCAGCTCGGCGGGTGTGAGGCTGTCTGTCAGTCCTTACTGCTTATATACCCTTGGGAAGGGAAGAGCCTAGTGCATTTGGTCAGTTGCAGGGACATCCTAAGAGTTCTGAGTTGTTAATTCCCTGGGGTTTAAGCCCTTTCCTTTAGAACTACCTGAGTTTTCACAGCTATATTCCAAGATGAAATGATTTTTAATTCAGAGAAAACTGCTATTCCACAAATATGATTAGGTTTAAATATTCATAGGCAGACACACATGGAACCCAGAGATAGAATAGCTGTAAAGTGAGGGTCATAATAACGCCTACTTAGCTGAGCCGTGGTGGCTCACACCTTTAATCCCAGCACAAGGCACAAGGCAGGCAGAGGCAGGCGGATCTCTGAATTAAAAGCCGATCCAGTTCCAGGACAGCCTGGGCAACGCACAGAAACCCTGTCTTGAAAAAGCAAAATACAAAAACAAAGAGAGAAGGAAGGATTAGAAGAAGAGAGAGAGCGACACACACAGAGAGAAACTTGTTAGCAAAAGCATACTTCTGTAGTTGTTGGCGTGCTTAGTTTTGCTGTCTGATTTCCTGAGTGCTAACACTTCGGTCCTCTAATGAGGCTCTACTGCCCCCACGCGGTGTACATTGCCCAGACACCTGGCTAAAGAGACGTGCTTCTAGTCTAGTCCTCTCCTAGGACTTAGCCCTCTTGTAGAGTGAAAGTGGCCACAGACAACTCATTGAGGAAGATGTGGTTACAGCTGCTGCGGAATTCCGGTCTGCCTATCAGCCCCTGCAGACTCGCAGACAGATGTGGCTTTAAAAAGCGCGGAAAGACACTAGGCGAAGCAGAGGCAGCGGCGTCTCACAGTTAGGACTGAGCAGCCTCAGGGAAAACCACCAGGAGGGATGTGTGCTGACTGGGTTAGAGGTCGAGTGAAAGGGACGCTTTGGATCCCAATCAAAATTCTGCGACTCCCCGAGGGAGTCTGAGATGACCCACACGAAAACCAGAGACGAATTAACCAGCAGTTAGAACACTGTCTCTGTGAGCCAATTACAAAGGGACAAAGTAGCCATACAGATGTGTTCCAATACAGCTTTATACAGTCCGATTTGACCTGCAGGCCCTCTGCTTGGTTTGCTGGCCTGGAGTTGGGATTAAAAAGAAAACGTTCATGTGTGCAAATGTTTTGTCTGCACGTGTGTCTGTATGTCAAGCGCATTCTCGGTGCCTGGTGGAGGTCTCAGAGGTTTTCAGGAACCGGAGTTATGGATAGTTGTGGTTACCATGTGAGTGTTGGGAATGGAACCTGTTCTTAAGTGCCTGCCTATCTCTTCATCCCCTGGAGATGAGGTTTTACTTTTTAAAATTACTTAATTTTTATTTTATGTGCATTGGTGTTTTGTCTGCATGTATGGATGTGTGAAGGGTATCAGAACTCCTGGAGCTGGAGTTACAGAGAGTTGTGAGCTGCCATGTGGGTGCTGGGAGTTGAACTCATGACCTCTGGAAGAGCAGCCAGTGCTCTTAATTGCTGAGCCATCTCTACACCACTGGGGATGAATTTTTTTTTCTTTCTTTTTAATTTTAGCTGCCTAGAATTTTTGGTGTGGGACCAGACCAACTGTCTGTTATAAAACTTCACCAAGGAGTTTATTGTGAGAGTGTTATTTCAAATACTATACCTCTGCTTCTAACTGTAGCTGAGATCTATTGAGTATGTGCTATGTACCAAACACTAAGAGCTTCCTGTATACTTTCTCACTTAACACAACTCTATGAATTGGGTACCATGATTCTGTTCACTTTATATATTTAGAGGGTGAGATGACATAATTTAGTAAGGGTAAGTCACTGTTAACAGGAAGGACAATGGTTCAAACCCACAGAATAGCCCCAAGGCCCTTTCATTAGCCTAATCTTTTTGTTTTTATTTTAAATGGGAAACACTTCAGCATCTGAACTTAACCAAAACTATTTTTAAAGTCGTATAGTTTAAATAAGGCTTACAAAGCTAGTCGCAAGCACTTTTAGCCAGATTTAATTAATAAACTTTCTCTGTGACCCTGAACTCTTACTCAGAATCGAATTCTTCTTAGACCTTGTCCATAGCTTTGACATATGATGCAAACGTATGAACCTGTCCACTTGTTCTCTGCCTTACAGACCCTCTACATAATGCCACCATATCTCCATGGCATATTGATTTTTTTCAGTTATTAATGTTCATTGTCGAGGTGATATAGTATACTGGTTTTAGATATGGGCTTGGGGCATAGTCTTCCGTTTGAAACTTAATCTTACCACTTGCAGGAATAAACAGCAGCTCGTCTGTTAGCATTTTAATCTCCTGGAATGGGCTGTCTCCACTGTGACTCTGTATTGTGGTCTGCCTTCATGAAGTAAAGGCAGAGTCATCGGGCTGGGTAGAAAGCACCTGCTGAGACATCTCAGTCCATTCAAGGGTCTTTAAGTAACAGCAGCACAACTCAACTGTCATTGTCTTCCACAACAATGACAGCTGATGTTTGTTGGGTGCTTGCTGTATGCTATTGTAAGTACTTTTTAATGAGTTAATGCAGCCCTGGGGATTAACCCCAGGTCACATGCTAAGCAAGTGTTCTGTCATTGAGTCCCAGCCCTTGGCTTTTTGATATAAGGTCCCATCCAGGCTGGTCTTAAGCTCATGACCTCTGCCTCTGCCTTGGAAATGCTGGGCTTACAGGTGTGTACTATGCCTGTAGACTTTTGACCCAAGCAACAGACCTATGCTCTGTTTAAATTTGTTCTTTATTTTGAGAAGGCTCTTGTTTGCCTGGAACTTGCTATGTAGAACAGGTTTTCTGGAACTCACAGAGATCCCTGTTGAGCCTGTTTGAGTGCTAGGATTGAAGGTGGGTGCCACCATTCCTGGATATACTTTTTTTTTTTTTTTTTTGAAAAGCAGGACACTGAAGAGAACATCTGTATTTCTTTTAATTTTCATGTTACTGATCTGCCTGCAACAGGAAGTTGCATTATGATGGATATCTTCAGGAGGACTGAACCAGTGTGGGTTTTAAAGAAAGAACCTTAAGCAGGGCTGTGGTGGCGAACGTCTTTAATCCCAGCACTTGGGACAAAGAAGCAAGCAGAGCTCAGCGAGTTTGTGGCCAGCCTGGTTTAAAGGTGAGTTCCAGGACAGCCAGGACTTTTACAGAGAACCCTATCTTGAAAAACCATTTAAAAAATTTTCTCAGTTAAATTTTGAAAAAGAAAAATTTGGGGGGGGGTAGGGTTTAAGAATTTCTTTCATTCCAAAGCATTGAAATGGGAGAACACGTAAACATTTTGGCTAAAATCTTTTTTTTAATAGCTGTGATGTATGTTAACAGGGCCAGAGTCTCTTTTGGTTCCCTCCAGACTCCCGGATATGAATATTCAAGAGTGTCACATGGGCAGAGACCTACATGCATGAAAGCTTCATTAATTTTTAACTAGTAATGGGAGATGAGAAGGCTCAGCACTGACCAGCTGTATTTTGCACTCAAGTACAGACATGAATTATGTATACATGGAAAATTATTTGAAACAATATTAGTCTATTATACCCTTTGTTCCTTAATAATTTTAGATAAATTAAAGTATATTATAATTATAATCAATTATGTTACTTCAATTATCATTTCTAATTGATCCAAGAATTAATATACAATACCTTGTGATAGTCTATTTCTTAATTCTGGTAAAAGCCAAAGCCAGTGGTTTTTTTTTTTTTTTTTGGTTTTTTCAAGACAGGGTTTCTCTGTGTAGCTTTGGAGACTGTCCTGGAACTCACGCTGTAGACCAGGCTGGCCTCGAACTCAAAGATCCGCCTGCCTCTGCCTCCAGAATGCCAGGGTAACAGGCGTGCATGTGCCACCACCTCCCGACAAAGGACTGTTTCTTAAGCCAGGGACTGTTACATTTAGGGAGCTGAAAGGAAATTAGAAGGATAAAGACACAATTCACGACTTCTCTTTAAATACCAAGGAAATACGATGGTCTTGACATCTATCTAGAATTTGCTTGGATGACAGTGAGGGCGAACCCTTTCAGGAGCCCCTTCTACTCTGAGAATTGCCATTCATGTACTTATTTCTGGGAAAGAACCTCCTGTAGCCCAGTAGACTACGAACTGAGTTTGACCTTGTGCTCTTCCTTCCTCCACCTGCTACGTGTTGCGATTACAGGCGTCGGCCACGGGTCCTGATGGACAACTTCAAAGCTCTTGTGGACGAAGTTACAGAGGACGTCCAGATGACTGGGGGGTAAGTGGGCAAGGCCGAGCGGAGACGACAGTGTGTGTGCGATCTAGACGGTGAAGTGGAGCTCAAGCGTGGGTAGAATCTCTCGCGGGAGTGATGGGGGGGAGCAGGCTGTGAACGCCGGCTGGGAACTGAGCCCCAGGCAGGCCTGCAGCCCTGCAGGCAGGCGCACGCCCTGCAGGGAGCAGCCCGCCACCTTGAGGGAGCCAGCCTGGGCTCTAACTGCGGGCACTGGCTGATGACGTCTGCAGGGCCCGGAGGCGATTGGCTCCCCGAGAGCGGCGTCAGCACCCGGGGACCCAGAGCCGCCGCTTACCATCGCGATAGCCGCCACCTCGGTGCGGGATGGCCGCGGAGCCGGGTGGGAGAGCTCCGAGGCTCCGGGAGCCGGCTCTCGGGGCCGAGACATGGCCCGGGGCCCCGGACAGCTAAGCGGGCCTCACTCGGACACTGTCGCCATGCCCAAGAGAGGAAAGCGGCTCAAGTTCCGGGCCCACGACGCCTGCTCGGGCCGAGGTGGGCGAGGGGCGGGGCCGCGCGGGCGGGGGCGGGGCCGGACGACGGGGGCGGGGCCGGGCGGCGGGGGGCGGGGCCGGGGCCGGGCGGCGGAGGGGGCCTGGGCTGCGGGGTCTGCACGGTCTGGGGAGACTTTGCCCGGAGTCTGAGGACGCCCCGGCGCTCTGCTCTGTTCCAGTGACCGTGGCGGATTATGCCAACTCGGATCCGGCGGTGGTGAGGTCTGGACGGGTCAAGAAAGCCGTGGCCAACGCTGTCCAGCAGGAAGGTAGGTTTTGGCGGATCTTTCTAGGCCCGAGCCCTTGAGGCAGCATTGGGTGTTGTGTTTTCCTGGGTTTTTGCCCCGGTGTTTTCCCTGCAGCTCTCTGGGCGTCTGGCCATGAACGTGTTTGCTCTTTTCAGTGTTTGCTTTCTCATGTTGGGGGTGAGATGGGTGTGTGTAGCCCTGCTGGCAGGTTCTAGAGCTGAGATAACTTTGTTTGCTCCTTGACTTAAAACACAACCAGGTGGGGTAGGCATTCGTTTAGTCTCAGCATTGGGGAGGCGGTTTTCACAGCAGTCTGACTAGTTAGTGAGATACTGTCTCCAAAGAACAAACCAAAAAACAACACAATTCCACACAATTTGGTACCAGCCCCTCTGCCTCTGTAATTTATGTATGTTTTACCATGCAATTGACATCTATTGCTTTGACATTATTATTACTATTATTATTATTATTATTATTTTGCCATGTTCAAGATTTTTGCCGTTGGATCTCTTAGATTTGTGTTGTATGTCACAAGTCTCCAGTGCAAGGAGGGGCTTAAATTGGATCCTGGTTCTCTTAACTCATTGCTCCTCAGAGTTGAGGTGCTTGAGAATAGACTTTTATTGTCTGCAGGGCGCACGTGTGTGAATTGTGCACCCTCTCCCAAAGCTGGCATTTGGAAGGAGTTAGTTTCTGACACTTTGGAGACAGTTTGTCAATTGCTCCCTCCCTTTTTTTTTTTCTTATTAAAATACTGCAATTTGGTTTCAGCTTTTGCTATAGATCCTCAGCCCTCAGCATTCTTTAACATTGTCTGTCTCCTTCATGGTTGCTGATACATTGACTGAGTGTTTTTGGACGGACCAGGTGCATTTAGTTCTTTCCTTGTTTTCTCCTAGTAAAATCTCTTTGTGGCTTGGAAGCCTCCCAGGTTCCTGCAGAGGAGGCTCTTTCTGGGGTGGGTGAGCCGTGTGACGTCATGGACAGCAGTGATGAGATGGATGCTCAGGAGGAAAGCACTCATGAAAGATCAGTCTCTAGAAAAAAGAAAAGCAAAAGACACAAAGGTATGGGGCTTGCTTTCCAGAACATTCTGAGTTCTGTCTAGAGTGATTGATGCTATCCTTTCTCAATGTATAGGGAGCTCTAAGAGATGATCTTGCTATTATACTAGTTATTGCCAGTGATATCTCTCTTTTCCAGGATCCCAAAATTGATAGCAATATTTATTATACTTTACTCCTTCTTAATTCTGCTAAGGGTGTATATATACATATGTGTGTGTGTGATATATATATATATGTATGTATGTATGTATGTGTGTGTGTGTGTGTGTATATACACATATATATATATTTCCTTTATGTGTATATACATATTTCCTTATATCTGCATGCATATGTGGGTGTATATACATTTCCAATTTTAGGTACTGAATGAGTGTTTGTCTACAAGTATATGTGTGCATCACCTGTATTTTGGAGTATCTCCTTGATTGTTCTGCTGTCTTTGAGTTAAGTGTAGAACATTTCCATCACTCCAGAAAGAATTCCCAAACCATCAGCATCACTGTTCCCTGCCCCCCACCTGATCTAATTTCATCTAATTTCATTCTCTACACGTGTACCTGTTGTAGACATTCCATACAAATGAAATGATACTGTGTTCTTTTAGTCTGATTTCTTTCACTGGGCTTAATGTCCTGTTTTTTGTTTGTTTGTTTTTGTTTGTTTTTTGTTTTTTGAGACAGAGTTTCTCTATGTAGCCTGGGCTGTCCTGGAACTAGCTGTGTAGACCAGGCTGGCCTCGAACCCAGAGATCTGCCTGTCCCCTTGCCTCTTGGATGCTGGGATGAAAGGTGAGCATCACCACCGCCTGGCCCAACACTTCATTTTTATTGCCTCGTGTTTGGCTATTTTGCACTATAAAGCAACTTCAGGGATAAGTTTTGTATGGGTAAATGCTTTCATTTCTAATAGGTAGATTGTGTGGTTCTCTGAAGTTTTTGAGGAGTTACCAAAATGGCCATATCATTTGATATTTCTAGCAACAACATATGAACAGTGTAATATTTCCACATCCTTGTCAATACTTATTATTTTACTTATGAAATTATAGTGGGTATGAATTATCTTTTAAAAATACAATTTTTATGTATATGTATGTGTGTTTTTGTGAATATTTGATGTGTATGCATGCCTACAGAGATCAGAAGAGGGAGTTAGATTCCCTGTAGCTGAATTTGTAGGTAGTTAGGAGTGGCCTGATGGGCGCTGGGACCCAAACTGGAAGAGTAACAAATGTTCTTAATTGCTGAGCTATTTCTCCAGCCCCTTTATTGAAAAAAAAAAAAAAAAAAAAAAAGTGTGTGTGAGTGTGCCTGTGCGTGGGAACATCTGTCTGTCTGTCTGTCTGTATGTATGTAATTGTGTCTGTATGGGACCCATGGCGGCCAGAATGAGTGGAGCTGGCATTTCAGGTATTTATCAGTTGCTTGATGTGGTGCTAATATCGTACGGGTCCCCCGAAAGACAGTGCCCTGGGTGGGGTTTGTTTGTTTGTTTGTTTTTCTCAGCTTCACACAAGGTAGAGTTATCTGGCAAGAGAGAACCCCCGTTTAGAAAACGCCCCTGCCCACTTGCCTGGCGGGCAGGCCTGTGCTGCGTGTTCTGGGTGGATGATTAGTATGGGCGGGCCGGGACCCATGTCAGGAGGGAGAGGGCTCTCGATCTCAGGGTTTGTACCCTCACATGCTCACACTCTGTGGCATAAATAATGAAATGTAACAATAATAAAAGGGCAGGCTAGCAAGCCATGCGGAGCACACCAGTGAGTGAGCAGGGCTTCTTCATGGTTTCTGTTTCGTTTCCCGTCCTGACTCCCTTCCATGACAGACTGACCTGAGAGTTGTAAGAGGTCGCCTTCCTCCGTTGCTTTTGGTCATGGTGTTTACAGCAGTCAGCGCCCCAGGGTCTGTTCACTAGTGGTGATGGTGGCGCAAGCCTTTCATGCCAGCACTTGGGAGGCAGAGGCAGGTGGAGCTCTATGTGTTCAAGGCCAGCCCAGTTTCAGGACAGCCAGGACTACACAAAGGAAACCCTGTCTCGAAAAACTAAAAGAGCAAAAACCAAAAAAATTAATAATAGTTTCTTCATTTCTGTTGAAGAATTATTGGAGTTGGTTGTTAAAATATACACAAAGGAACGTTGAAAACTTATAATAACATACAAGCAGTTGTGTTTTAAAGGCCGTTGATGGTGGGAAGATGGCTTAATTGGTAAAGCACGTGGTGCGCATACATGAAGGCATGAGTTCAGGGCCCCAGCACTCATGTAAAAAGAGGACACTGGCAGTGTGAGTGTGTCTCCAGTGCTGCTGAGGCAGAGGCAGAGGCAGAGGCAGCAGGGTTCCTGGGGCTTGAGGGCCAGCCTGTCTAGCTGGATCCTGGTTGGTGAACTCCAGGTTCAATGAGAGACCTCATCTCAAAAAACGAGCTAGAAAAGTAATTGAAGAGCACGCTGGATATCGACCTGTGGCTTCCAAACACACATGTACCCACATAGCATGTGGTCACACATGCAAGTGTATGCACACGCATATACACACAGCAAAGGCCTTAAGCACATCAGTGGATTCTATCAGCTAGAATCGTCAGAAGCTGAGGGGCTCTCTTGCACCCCGTCTTAAAGTGCAGGTGAGGGAATGGGGTGAGCACCTTTAGGTGTGTGGTGACAGTGGGGCACGGTGCTGTTCTTTTCTCTTTCAGAGGATCTGGATGGGGCAGGAGAAGAGTACCCTATGGACATTTGGCTGTTGCTGGCGTCCTATATCCGTCCTGAGGACATTGTGAACTTTGCCCTGATTTGTAAGAATGCTTGGACTGTCACTTGCACTGCTGCCTTTTGGACCCGGCTGTACCGCAGGTGCGGGGCAGAGTGCCGGGGCTGTACGGCAGGTGCGGGGCGGGGCAGAGTGCCGGGCTGTACGGCAGGTGCGGGGCGGGGCAGAGTGCCGGGCTGTACGGCAGGTGCAGGTGCGGGGCAGAGTGCCGGGCTGTACGGCAGGTGCAGGTGCGGGGCAGAGTGCCGGGCTGTACGGCAGGTGCGGGGCAGAGTGCCGGGCTGTACGGCAGGTGCGGGGCGGGGCAGAGTGCCGGGCTGTACGGCAGGTGCGGGGCAGAGTGCGGGGCTGTACGGCAGGTGCAGGTGCGGGGCAGAGTGCCGGGGCTGTACGGCAGGTGCGGGGCAGAGTGCCGGGGCTGTACGGCAGGTGCGGGGCAGAGTGCCGGGCTGTACGGCAGGTGCGGGGCGGGGCAGAGTGCCGGGCTGTACGGCAGGTGCGGGCGGGGGCAGAGTGCCGGGCTGTACGGCAGGTGCAGGTGCGGGGCAGAGTGCCGGGCTGTACGGCAGGTGCGGGGCAGAGTGCCGGGCTGTACGGCAGGTGCAGGTGCGGGGCAGAGTGCCGGGCTGTACGGCAGGTGCGGGGCAGAGTGCCGGGGCTGTACGGCAGGTGCGGGGCAGAGTGCCGGGGCTGTACGGCAGGTGCGGGGCAGAGTGCCGGGGCTGTACGGCAGGTGCGGGGCGGGGCAGAGTGCCGGGCTGTACGGCAGGTGCGGGGCAGAGTGCCGGGGCTGTACGGCAGGTGCGGGGCAGAGTGCCGGGCTGTACGGCAGGTGCGGGGCAGAGTGCCGGGCTGTACGGCAGGTGCGGGGCAGAGTGCCGGGGCTGTACGGCAGGTGCGGGGCAGAGTGCGGGGCTGTACGGCAGGTGCAGGTGCGGGGCAGAGTGCCGGGGCTGTACGGCAGGTGCAGGGCGGGGCAGAGTGCCGGGCTGTACGGCAGGTGCGGGGCAGAGTGCTGGGGCTGTACGGCAGGTGCGGGGCAGAGTGCCGGGGCTGTACGGCAGGTGCGGGGCAGAGTGCCGGGGCTGTACGGCAGGTGCGGGGCAGAGTGCCGGGGCTGTACGGCAGGTGCAGGTGCGGGGCAGAGTGCCGGGCTGTACGGCAGGTGCGGGGCAGAGTGCCGGGCTGTACGGCAGGTGCAGGGCAGAGTGCCGGGCTGGCTGTACGGCAGGTGCGGGGCAGAGTGCCGGGCTGTACGGCAGGTGCAGGGCGGGGCAGAGTGCCGGGGCTGTACGGCAGGTGCGGGGCAGAGTGCCGGGGCTGTCTCTGAGGCTGCTCGTGCTGTTTGCGATGTGGAGCTAGGCCCCAGATGATGGGCTCTTCTTATTTTCTTTACTCTGTGCCTTGGCATGACCCTAGCTTTGGACCTCTTGATGTCTCTCTGCATCTTATGTTACTGATTCATGAAGGCGGTGTCTTCCCGATGGCCGCCACCTTACCATGGCTAGTGCCTTTTTTTTTTTTTTTTTTTTTTTTTTTTTTGTAAGCGGTATTACTTCAGACCCCAGAAAGAGCTTAGATTTTTCCCTCAGAGGTTTATCTTATTACATGGTCAGTAAAAGTGCTAGATTTTTACATGGGGAGCAGAGCTGTAGAGGACTTCCTGACTTGCAGAGCTGTGGTTGGGATAGATGCTAGTGCTGAGATGTCTGACAGGGACCCGTGTCTCTTCTCCAGTCTCCAGGACAGGCCCTTTTCGAGCAGCTAGAGTATATTATTGTCAGTTTAGAGGCTTGTAGTTTTGTAGAGCCTGAAATAGGGCAAATTTAAACCAGGAGAGGTAGAGAACTACAGGATTACAAGATGAAGAAGCAAAAGCCATCAATAATTCAGGAGATGGTGATGGTGATGGTGGCGGTTTTTGTGAGTACGGGAAAGCTAGTACTCCGCAGTGGAATAGTAGAACAGAGTTCACATGGAAACCGAGAGTCCTTGGGGACGGAGTAAGTGCAGGAGAGACAGGTCACATATTGGTAGGAGTCATGTGTCATGTTTCAGGCACTACACGCTGGATGCTTCTCTGCCTTTGCGGCTTCGACCAGAGTCCATGGAGAAGCTGCGCTGTCTCCGGGCATGTGTGATCCGATCTCTGTACCATATGTACGAACCATTTGCTGCTCGAATCTCCAAGAATCCAGCCATTCCAGAAAGCACTCCCAGCACACTAAAGAATTCCAAAGTAAGTGACCGTTGCTGTTGGGGTTTGGCTGATGGACTCTTGTATGGTGGGTCTGCTCCTGTTTGCAGCTTCTTGTTGGGGAGGGCTCTTGATCCCAACCTACTAGGGTTCAGAAGTTGCCTTTCTTGCAACACATTTCTGTTGTTCTAGGCTGGCATATGCTATCTTTTCCTAAAGCTTTCTTGTACTTTTAGTGTATTTCTTGGTCTCTTTAGCTTGTGTTTATGTACTGTACGTTTGGCCAGCGTAGATAGAATGGTTTTGATAGTTTGGGCCAGGAAGAGTAGAAATTGAATGGCAGGTGTGTACTACAGTTCTCACCAAGTGCTTAGTGTTGACGCACGTAGCATCAGGAACTGCAGTGTCTGTTTCTAATGTAATCTCGGCATCTGAGATCCCACTTCATTGTTGACTTCCTTAAAGGATTCTGGTATAGACGTCTTTACTTGGTAAGCCCCGGCCAGGCTTTTGCTAGGCTCTGTGGTAATTTGTCTCAGAGACTATAGATTCATAGATCTTAGGGTTCCAAATTCTTCCTGTTTTAGTCTGCTTTTATCTTAGGAGTCTCTACACAGTTTATACTTTTACACTGTATTCAGGGTTCTGGTACTCTGAATAATAAGTTGGTCTATTAGTCCTTGCCCCATTTTCTCCTCCCTGGTGAACACCTTTACCAAGCTAGATGAGTGACGTTGTTATGGTTATTTAGGCAAGTTGATCTCTTAGCCTTTTTGTCTTACTCAAATGATACCGTGTAATTTCCTTATCTTTTGCATGTGTGGGTAATTATTACAACTCTAGTCCATTCCATAGCCCTTCCTGTTCTCTTCTGCTTTGCCTTTATGCTTGTACCTGTTATATGACTCTTTTCTCCTAGTTGAGCCCTAAGGCTGTATTAATTCCAGGAATTGAAAGGTACCATTGATTTCAAGGTAACCAAGATCCTCCATGCAACACTTAGCAATGGAGGTCATGAGGACCTTGGACCCAACTGTTTAATATAATGCTAGCTGATGGATTTAGGGCAGGAGTAGTGTACTGCATGGGTAGAGTTTCACCCTGACGCTGCTTCTGCTTGTAGTGTGAGTGGACAGTGTCCCATCTCACATTTACAGTGTCTTCCTCCCTGGCATCATTTAATGCTGTGAGAGTCACTGTGAGGAGAGTGGTAATCATTAGGTTGACCATCGCGGTGTGGAGCAGGGCAGCATTGGTGGGCAGACTCCTCATGCTTGCCCGTCTTAGTGGCTCCAGTGCACAATGCAGGGGCTATTGCTTGACCTCTAAAATACCCATATCCTTATACTCTTAGTACCCTGTCTTCTTTCTTTCTTCCTTCCTTCCTTTCTTCCTTCCTTCCTTCCTTCCTTCCTTCCTTCCTTTCTTTCTTTCTTTCAAGTAGATCGTGAAGCCAAAGTGGATTGAAAAGTAAGCTCTTAATCCAGGTAGTGAGCTCAGGCTCCCTGGCACCCTCTTTTTGTACTGGTAGAGACCCTCTGAAGAGGATCTGGGTCCTGTAGTGGCAGATGCCTGGTGCATGGCCTCACCACTTTTGTGCCTACAGTTGCATGGCACTCAGTTGCCAGCATGCCTAAAGGAAGTTGCCCCCTCCCCTGGACGCCAGCTGTTCGTATTTGATCCCCTCTCTCTCTTTCCAGTAGCATAGCTTGTGTGGGACACTGGATCCGTTGTCATGGCAGCAGAAGTGTTTTCCCCTAGAAGCCAAGCCCATTATTTTTGCTGGAGCAGCAGGACGTCCAGGGCATGTCTGAAGGCAGGGCAGCTGGCACGGCGGACGACCCACCCCTGTCCCCTGGGAGGTACTTCACTTCTTGTGCTTAACCCTAGCTATGGCCTGACTGCGTTGAGGGGCTTGCTTTAGACTGAACTCAGCTTAGCTCAGTGGTTTCCATAACAGCTGTCTGTCCCTCGAAGGTCCCGAGTGGCTTGTTCCTGTCATAGGGCCAGCCCTCCTCGGCTGCTTTGTGGCTCTGTTAACCATCTTGCCTGGTGGCTACTTGCTGCCTTTATATTTTAATGTAGAGCAGTGGCTGCTGAATCAGGAAACGCCCCACACTGTAGATACATATTTCTGTCTTTAATGGGAACACAGTGGTTGATCTTAGTAAGCCTCTGAGGTGACTCGCATTGGCCCTGTTCTTCCTGACTAGCATTGTGACAGTCTTCATGGTGCACCGAGTGTCAGGTTGGGGTGCGTGTGTACCTAAGTAAATCCTCTGCATCACAACTGTAGTTGGCTCTAGAGCTGTCAGAGATACTTTTGCTTACTAATTTTTTTGTTATTTGATAATACATTTTAATGTCATTCCCATAGTTTATTTTTGCTTTTCTTACAGTGCTTACTTTTCTGGTGCAGAAAGATTGTTGGGAACAGACAAGAACCAATGTGGGAGTTCAACTTCAAGTTCAAAAAACAGGCATGTACCCTTCTTGTCTCTGTATTTGTATACATTTAATTTTATTTTTTTAAGATTATTTGTTTGGAGAGCTTTGTGGCTGGGAGGGTGAGACAGTGTACTGCATTTATAGAGGATCCACGTTCTAGAGCATCTAGTACCCTCTTCTGGCCTTTTAGGGCACTGCACTCATATGTTCAAACCACTATCCCTCCTTAAAATGAGGAGTTTTTTAATTTTGTATGAGGATTCTGTTTTTGGAGACACAGTCTGTATATAATCTATGCGTCCCTGGCTGTCCTGAAACTTGGCCATGTAGACCAGGCTGGCCTCAAACTTGGAGGGGTTTATCTGCTGTCTCTCAAATGTCCAGATTAAAGGTGTGAGCCGCCATGTATGGCTTGTCTATCGAGTGTTTTGTCTGCCTGTACCTGGCCTTGTGTTGGCCAGAAGAAGGTGCCAGCTTCCCTGGAATTGGAGTTATGGACAGTTGTTAGCCTCTATGTGGGTGCCTGGGACCAAACCTGAGTCCTTTAAGAATAGCAAGGGTTCTTAACTGCTGAGGCATCTCAGCACCTTTCAGGTAACTTATTGAATGAGCTTCATCATGTCTTAATCCTTTTGTGCTACCACACACATGTATTTATAAAGAACAGAAATTAATTTTCTCATAGTTCTGGAGGCCAGGAAATCCAAGACCAAGGCACTTACATGTTCTGTGATGAGGCGCTGGCCCTCATTTTCAAGACAGCCCTCACATAGCTGTGAGGGAGGCTAAAAGGGGCTGAATCCATTTTAAGCCTCTGCCCTTTTTTTTTGAGACAGGATTTCTCTTTGTAGCTCTGGCTGTACTAGAACTCACTCTGTAGACCAGGCTGGCCTTGAACTCACTCAGACACCTGCCTGCCCCTGCCTCCAAGTGAAGGCGTGTGCCACCACCACTGCTGGGCCCACAAAGTTTCTAACCAAAGTCAGGCATCGTGTTTCCCTATTAGTTTATTTTTAAAAACGTGGTTCTCGTGAAGAAATGTGGCTCTCGTATCTTCGTTAGGGACTCACAGCCGGTGATATCAGTTAGACACTTTTTTTGAGGGGAAGCCCGAGGAGTAGAGAAATGGGACAGGCGGCCAGAAGCACTGCAGGGTATTGAATGCCGAGAGTTCCTTTGGTCCTGAGACTGGTGAACCCTGTCTCATGGGCCCTGGAATTTGGAGTTCAGTTCTGCAACAGATACCCTGAATTCTGGCAAATCACATGCGATTTGCAGTCTTTCAAACATTGGGGAGTGGCTGCTAGAGCCACTTATTATCAGATGGTGGAAATATTGTCTGATGTAAACATGCTCTTTACCTATTCTAGTTTCCTATAAAAGATTTATTTTTGAAGTACACAGTGTTCTGCCTGCGTGTGTGCCTGTACTGCAGGCCAGAACAGGGCGCCAGATCTCATTACAGATGGCTGTGAGCCACCAAGTGCTTGCTGGGAATTGAACTCGGGACCTCTGGAAGAGCAGGTGGTGCGCTTAACCACTGAGCCATCTCTGTAGCCCCTCTTTCCCTTTTCTGAACAGGTAGATTGTCTTTGATCTCTGCACAGAAACTAGTATGTATACAAAGAGATGACAGAAAAATATATCTCATTAACTTTAGTTTACCTGTTGGATTTTCCTCCATAGCGTCTTAGAGAGCATGTACATTTCCTCTAAGCCACTAGATTAATACTTACTCCCCCTTAGCCTCCTAGATTAAAGAGCAAGTGTATGGAGCGGTTGCAGCCCCCCATTCAGTATGAGGATGTCCACACCAACCCCGACCAGGACTGCTGCCTCTTGCAAGTCACCACCCTCAATTTCATCTTTGTCCCTATTGTCATGGGGATGATATTCACCTTGGTAAGCGGGGATTCAGCACGTTTGCAGATTCACATTGTACCTGTAGTTTCAGATTTAACTGTTGGGAAGGAATCTCTAAAGAATAATAAAGCCAGAAATTAAAACCAGAATAGTACACGGGTACACCCCTTCTCTCCCTTCAAGTGACTGTACACACACCAAAATAAACCCGCAAAAGAGAAAAGCACAAACACTTCCCAGATAAAAGCAAAACTAAGTCTGAAATCAGATTTGCACGTCAGAAAGACAGATGCGGGGAGAAGCTAATTACATCTGAGGATGTTTTGCTTGCTCCTCTTAAGGGAAGGCTTTCTTCACATCGTCCTGTGTGTGCAGGGATCATAGTGGTTGAGAAGTGGTGTCCTGAAGGGAACATTGATAAACACACGTGAGCATTGTCAGGACCTTGGGCATTCCTGTGCTTCCATAATGGAATATCAAAATAGAACTAGCCGTGGCCTTAGGTGATGCTCCGATTCTTCTGACCATGGCCAATAGTTAGAGGAGGAAATAAAGTATGTGTGTGTAGCATATACTTTCCATGTTTTAAAAATACTTACTTGGATTGGATAGGCTGCCAGAAAGTTCATGTCATTTGCTATTTATATTCTGTGTGTCTTAGACTCAATGTTCAGAGATGTTTGGAGTTCTTCTCTATGATGAAAAATCTTAATTTTTTAAATAATAGATAATGTATGTATCATGAAGATTTAAGTAATGCACAAATTTATATGGAAAGTATACGTGACTCAGACTGCCACTGCCCTATAATGACAATTAATTTTCTGGGGTCTGTTAATATGTAGCTAATTTTCTATAGTTAAAATTGTGTCATAATATTATTTTTGTCAAGGCACTTCTCCCTCCTTTCATGTTAAGCCACATTAATGACCTCACAGTTACTTGTATTCCATACATGCCATACTAATTTGATATAAACCTACATATAAATACTTGGAGAATTTTTTTTTTTTTTTTTTTTTTAACAAAACAGTGGGTTCAGGCTTAGGTTTCATGTATTTGGTTCCATACTTGACTTGTTCATCAGTGTCTTAACAGAATTCCATCTTTATGCTATATGTATAACAGTTAAATGTCTTTTGTGGTAGAATGTGTGCATATATCCTAAGCTATTTGTTTATCAATAAGGCCCTTTAACAGGTTATATACACAAAGCATAATTCTTATAAAGATCACCCTGAACCCCTTTATGTCTTTATGAATATGTTGGCATCATAACTTAAGAGGTGAACTTTGAGACTGAACCAAGGTGTATTATGTGTAGACCAAGTCAAGAAACCAAGGATACTTAAATGTAAATGCTGAATGTGCCTTTCTCTCGTAGTTTACTATTAATGTGAGTACGGACATGCGGCATCATCGTGTGAGATTGGTGTTTCAAGATTCTCCTGTCCGTGGTGGTCAGCATCTGCGCAGTGAACAGGGTGTGCAAGTCGTCCTGGACCCAGTGCACAGTGTTCGACTCTTTGACTGGTGGCATCCGCAGTACCCATTCTCCCTGAGGGCGTAGCTACTGCTGCCTATCCTTTGGGACGGCTTCCAGTCTAGTCTGTTAGTAATCAGGTTCTGTTTGGAGGGCAGCTGGGTCGTATACCTGATTAGTGATGCACATTCTGTTTGGGTTCCTGGGGCTCCAATTACAGGAGGTGGAAAGGTTGAATCAAGAGGAAAAACAAGTATGATTTATAAACATTTTAATGTAAAGTTTGCATATTTCAAAGGAGAAACCTGGCCTCATTTTCTGTCTTAAACCCAACTGGTGCTGTTGAGTTTGTTCTTTATTCTTTTATCTCAACAAAGATGGGTGATCTTGCACCAGGGAAAAGATTAGACTCTTAGTTTTCAAGCAAGGAAGTTTTCCCTTGTGCATCAGAGGAACCCAGGGTTTAAATGTTTGCTCCATCGTTGCTGCTCCTCAAATTCAAGTGAATATTTTTTTTTTCCCTTTTCCCTTTACTCTTCTCCAGAAATAAAGCAGGTGACAGGGTTGTCAGAATCGTATAAGATTGACTTGTGCATCTTTAAAAAATGTTTTTTTGGGTATTTATTTCATGAATATTGATGGTCTTGCTGATTGTGTATTTTGGGTTTTTGTTTTTTTGCATGAGGCTGATAGTGATGATAATGATTGTGTGCCCCGGTACTGTTCTTAACATGTTGTGTCTCTCACCCTTGTGTCTTCCAAGGTAGTTGAATTCCCATTTTATGGTTGAGAAGTTGAATCATTGACTTACCCAAGGCCAGAAACTGCTGGCCCATGCAGAGTGAGGATTCTGACCCATGTCTTTTTTTGCTATACCATAACTTCAAAGGCCAGTCATTTTTCTTGTGGTACATAGTAGTAAAAAGGAGTAGGCAGAATGTGAAAAATAAAGAAGAAAATAAGTTAGTTTGAGTATTTCACATAGACATGTATTAACTGAAAGGTAAAAACAGTTGAGGAAGAATTGTATGTGCATTAAATTGTTAGGAAGCCTTTATTATGCTAAAGGTCATTTTCAAAAAAATGCACTGCATGTTGAAACCAGCCTTAAACTCGAAGCAATTAGTGCTTTTCTCTGCCCTGTTCTGTCCTTTGCAACCTTTGTTTTTCTTTTTAAAATCATCCTGTCTGGTTTAAGGAGCCTGGTCTTCTGTCCATACAGAAAAGTTTGGTCAAATTTCTTGCTGTCACTGGCATGCTCTGAGAAGAGGATCACTGGTGGGATTTTGTTTATTCTTTTGCTAAGAAGAACACCTTGTTTTTTTTTTTTTTTTCCCCTCCTGAGTGTGGCAGGAGGTAGGCAGTAAGACAGTAAATATTCTTATACTCCAGATCTGGAGTTCAACTCCTAGCTCTGCAGTCTAGCCTCCCTGCCTCTAAAAGAGTCATTTTAAGACAGGGTCTTGCTATGTAGCCCAGGCTGGCCTTGACCTTAATCCTCTTTAGCCACCTGGAGTGTAAGGATTATAGGTATGAATCACTAGACAGGACAGAGACAGTATTCCTTAAACAACAACAACAACAAAAGTATTGTGGTTTTTATCACTCTGCACCCAATGCTATTTAAGGAACATTCTTAAGAAGCATCTGTTTAATACTGCTGCTGACAGCCTTACCCCACACTGAGGGGAATATTAATGTTGGTTGAACAGAAAGTGAGCCTGGGTCAGTCAAAGAAACAAACAAACAAACAACAACAACAACAAAAAAAAAAGAAAAACAAAAAACCAGACAACCAGAATTTGGGTACTTAATTACCAAAAGCAAACAGAAGCCCAAGGACAGTGAGCCCTTTACAGACCTCTGCAAGCAAAAGTTGTCTCTTTGAAGCAGATGGAGAGAGTTCCCTGAACAAACCGTGGATGCCCTGGAGCAGGGGATGTTGTCCTGGTGGGTGTGTGTCTCCCTTTAGGTTTACTTAAGGGGTGAAATAAATGTGGCTTAACGATTGTTTTCTGGCTCAGCTTCTGCATGCTTGTGCCAAACTCGATGGTGTGATGATCAGTGCTGTACTCTGCCTCTGCTGCGTTCTTAACACATTGCCAGCACTTGGTAAAGTGGTTCTTCTTGGTTACCATGGCTTCAGTCTTCCTCAGCTTTGGCTGAGTTGCCTTTTCCGGCATTATTCATCTGAAGTCTGGAGGGGTTGCCTTTTGGTAAGCACTAGACCACCTGGAGAACAGTTGGAACTTTGACGACTCTAGGTCTAAAGCCTGATTTTCACGTCTTGAAATATATAGGTATATACTATATACATAAAATATGATATGCTCAAAGAGTCAAGAAATAATGCAAATTTAGCTTCTCCCAACCCCTATTGCAATTACATTTCTTAGGCATTTCTCTAAAGATGCAAAGAGTATGTTGACTGTATTGGGAGAAAATGATTGAAAGGCTGCATTAACTGGTCTCAGTTACAGCCTTTACTGGGCGTGTGTAGATCTGCACATTGCTCGTACAGAACGCATCTTCAGTGCTGGGCGGTGGTGGCTCACACACCTTTAATCCCATCACGAGGGAGGCAGAGGCACAGACAGGTGGATCTCTGGGTTCAGGCCAGTCTACAGTGAGCTCCAGAACAGCCAGGCTACACAGGAACTGTGTTGAAAAACCAAAACAAGCAACCCCTCCAAAACCCACAACCACTTGTAGTTCTCACACTCCCAACAGTGCTTGTGGGGTATTTGTGAACGGTTTGAGTGGGCACGTAATGAAACTTCACAATCCAGATGGAAAGATACATTAATAGCCACGGGGGCCGGGAACAGGGAAAGGGAGCAATCCAGGAAAGTAGGTTTAGCTAAATTTTGTCAGAATTTTGGCATGTGAGCATGTTTTCATAGGATGTATGTATCACAGACAGACACTTCATTTTATAGTAACAGTGTTAGGACAGTCGCATGCCTGAAGGCAACATCATCATTTACAGAAGCACATGCTGTAGGTAGGAGTGGCTGGGTTCCCAGTTTCCCCATTTAAAAGCGTGTGGGAGACTACAGGTGTGGAAGGTGACCAAGCACCGGCCGCCTAGGGCCGGGGCAGACTCGGTAGGTGGGGTCCAGGGGTAGCAGCAGGTAGGGTGTGCTTGCACGCCAGGCCCCGGACTCAGCACCTACCTCCGGGACTAGATGCTGGCCCTGCCCTCTCGGGCCCAACCAAGATGGCGCACAGCATCAGAGCAGCGCCCCGGTCACGTGGGAGCCCGGCCGAGGGAGCGCCCGGGCGTGGGGGCGTGGCCTCGGGAGGCCCGGCCAGCCCCGCCCCGGGGGCGGGGCCGGGGTGTCCGCGGAGGGAGGGAGGGGGCGGGCCCTAGCGGCCGGGTCCTGGGCGGCGGAGGCTGAAGCTCGCAGCTCCCTTGCGCGCTTGCCTCTAGGACGCCTCGCGCTGCCGAGGTCGGTCGGGGGCGGCGCCCTGCTGCCGCGGGGCCTTCGGCCGTTCCACGCAGGTGAGCGCCCACAGCCCACGCCGCGGGGAGGAAAGGAGCCCCCTTTCCCCAGCTGCAGCTGCCCTGCACAGTTTGAGGAGGAGTCTCTGTTAGTGCGCCTTGGGAAGCCGCCTCCGAGGGTCTGGAAGCGTCTCTGTCTCTGCGGGGCGCGGGTTAGGTCGCCCCTCGCCTTTGCTGTGTGCCCTGTGCCCTTGGGGATGAGAGTGGGGGTCGATGCCCGTTTTGCAGGGAGGGCGTAGAGTTCGCCCTCAGCTCCATCGGCTTCCAGGGAGGGGGCAGCCGGCTTGCACTGCGCCCCCACACCCTCTCCAGGAGTCAGAGCAAAAGCACCTATGATGATGGGCTTGGGGGCTTCTTTGGGCTAGCGCTTGTGACAGGCTGAGGTCTTCGTTCATCCCGGGGGTCTTCATCCTTCCCGCGTGCCTCTTTACGCCCTTGGTTACTATCGTCAGCTCTGCATTCCTGGAACTGTCAGGGTGTCAGGCCGTACCAAAGATGCCCCCCATCTCCGCAGTGCCGGGGCGGAGGGGTGGGAGGCATGGCCAGCCCGAGGCCTGGGTGGGGGTGGGGAACAGGGTGGGCGCAACAGGAAAAGACGTTCGTAATAGAGATCCCTGGACTGGGGTGGGGGTGGGGGTGGGGGGCTGGATTGTGAACACAGTAGGGGGATTACCCAGCACGGATGTGGAGGGTTTTTATGGTCGGTGGGAAGGGAGGTCGGGCTGAAGGACTTGGAAATGTGTTGTAGGTGGTTTCTTTGAGAAGGAGGAGGGATCTAGGACTAAGGGCCACTAGGTGCTGATGTCACCTTTGAAGAGAGATGTGTTGGAGAGGAAGAGAGTTGAGGCAGCTCTTTAGTACTTGTTCATGGACAGCAAGTGGTTAAGGGGGCTGTGCTTACACTTGTCCCCTCCTGGTGGGAGCTTGAGGAGGCTCCTGCAGGAGCCAGGCTTCAGGGACTCCCTGCACTCCTGTCCAGAGTCGGGATTGGCACTTGGTACTTGGTTGAACATCGAGTAAACATTTATTGGGCACCTACTACGTGCCAGGCACGGTGCTAGCTACTTGGGCATCCAAAAGCAGTTTAGGGCCATGGAGCAAACGAATGGTACCCGAAGCAGGCACACGTGTTAGGCACTACCCTCCCATATACAATTTAGTTATATTGTAGTAGTGGGGGGTGGAAGACAACCAGATTCCAACCCACGGGATCCCCATCGCTGCGACTGGCCATAGAGACTTTAGTTAAAAAAAAAAAAAAAAAAAAAAAAAAAAAAAAAAAACGACAGCCTGAATGAGTTTGTGCTAAGGTCTGAGGTGGCTTCCTAAGATAAATGATGTCTCAAAGTAATGAGATGAGGGATGGCACATTGGTTATTAGGACAGTGGGGGCCCTAGATGCTGTGCAGAAGGAGACATCGTCTCCAGAAAATGAGCGGGTGTGGGAGACTCTGCCATAAGGGGAGTTCTCATCTGGGGGGGGGGTGGGTCTGTGCTGCTGAGCATGCCCTGGTGTGAGTAGAGGAAGGATTGGAGGGGCAGGGTGGAGGTAGCAGGCAGGGAGGGGCAGGCAGGCAGGCAGGCAGGCAGGGAGGCAGGCAGGCAGGCAGGAGGCAGGCAGGCAGGGAGGCAGGCAGGCAGGGAGGGAGGCAGGCAGGCAGGAGGCAGGGAGGCAGGCAGGCAGGCAGGGAGGCAGGCAGGCAGGGAGGCAGGCAGGCAGGAGGCAGGCAGGCAGGAGGCAGGCAGGGAGGCAGGAGGCAGGTAGGGAGGCAGGCAGGGAGGCAGGCAGGCAGGCAGGAGGCAGGCAGGGAGGGAGGCAGGCAGGCAGGCAGGCAGGCAGGCAGGCAGGCAGGCAGGCAGGCAGGCAGGCAGGCAGGCAGGGAGGGAGGCAGGCCGGCTGGCATGCTTACTCGCTCTTGGGTCCTCTCTGAGTTGATGGTTGAAATCTTAGCATTGGAAAGAGTTAAGAGGTTTGCTGTGATACCTTCCTGAACCTCTGGAAGATAGCAGGGCTAGAGCTGGGGAGAAGATGAGTAGTTGGGTTGGGTTGTTGATGAGGCAAGGGTGAAGGTTCCCGATGGCCAGGAAGCTGGGTGCCAAAAGGGCTTTAAGATCTAGGGAAGTTAGCGGAAGCCTTGTTATGCCAGAAATGCTCTCCCTGGGCCTCAAAGAGCCGCATTGTATTAGGTTGGTAGAGGATTTTCTGCATGAGCAAGGTGTGCTGTGCTGACCGAGCAGCATAGTGTGTGTGTGTGTGTGTGTACACTCATGGTAAGCGTGTGTGTGCTTGCGCAAGTGTGTATGCTGGAAATGAGGAGTAAGAGAGCAAAGTCTGTCAAAGTGTGGGTCCCACAGGGACTGAAGAAATGTGGGGTCGGAGGGAGAGACAAGTGTGTCTTGCAAGCACAGAAGTCACCATCTGTCCCCCCACCCTCCTGGCCTGCTAGCTCACTGACCTATAATTAGCTCCGGAGGGCAGATGGTGCTGGCTCACAGAAGGGTGGCACTTCGAGTGGCCAGCAGAGTAAGGGACACTCGGAGGGGCTGTGGGCCTGTGCTGAGGGCTGTCTGGGAAGTGGGGAGGGGCCCTAGGAAACCGAGAATGTCAACGAGATGGGGGAAACTACTGGGACAAGGGGCTCTAGGGGAAGGTCACATGACCCTTGAGGCCAGCAGACCCTAAGGACCCCCCTTTTGCCAGCTCCTGGCTGTTGCCTGACCACCCAGACATGACTGCTGCCTGCCTTACTGCCCGGATTGCTGGTGGGCTGAGGGCTGTAGCGTGGGGGGCTCCCTTGAAGTGTTCTCTGCCCTCCCAGGAGGAGTCATTTCAGTTGGGGACTGAGAGGCCTTGGCTTCGGGTCACTTGCCCTGAGAGCCCGTTGCTGGGCGAACTCCAGGTGGTGCTTTTAGTGCCCAGTCCGGACCAGCGGCTGCTCAAACGCCGCTGTGTATAGGTATTCTCCCAAGAAGCCTGTGATGCGTCTCACGAGTTCTCTTGGAGTGGGTATTGAATGGAGTCGAAGCCATCGGTCTCCTGGCCCCGTGTGTCCCAGGAAGCAGCATCTCCTTGCGATTAAGACAGGGAAGTGCTGGGATGCAGTACCAGATTGTTGCATTCCAGTGGGAGAATTGGCAGAAGATGACAGTGAGGTCCTTAAATCTTCCATAAAGCAGAGCGTTTAGGCTTAGGGTTATGACCTTGGACAATAAAACAAATGTGTAGACAGAGTGCATCTTACATATACA